CCAATAATGATAGTAACCATAAGCACTTAATTTTGATAAGCTATGTTTTAATTTTACGTATGAGCAATGTTCATCGCTAAATATCACTGAACCTGATCAGATGTGCTTTTTCATTAGTTCTACGAGGCGTTTATGACTTTTGTCTTTTACATAATACATAATTGGTATTCTAGATTTTCAGCAAAACATTCCGAATACCCATTTAACTTTTGGAAACGCTCCATTGTATGCCCAACTTTAACGCCCTATTAGAGTTTCATCAATATCGACTTGATCTTAAAATCAAATATAGTTCTTAACATTATTCTCAATATACAAATTCACTGCCTTACGAATTAGAATAAAAAAATCTGAAATCATTGCACCATCGCTGACCATAGACTTTGCCTAACGCTAATTGCAATTCAATGACCAAAAAGAGACAGCTAAATCAAACTTAAATATATTTATACCAACAAGTGGACTTGAATACGTCAATCTTTAAGTTCTGAAACAATATAGACATTTCCAAATATATTCACAATATTCGAACATAGAAGAGAGAAATCTCATTGACTGACCACACTGATTACAAAATCAATTAGGATGTAAAAGACCAGCATCCATCAACTCATAGATAACTTAAATCTTTGGCTTTACTATTTTCATTTGATGCATTACTCATTTCAATTATTTCGAAATTTTTATGATTTTTGCATACTTTGCTTAATCACTTGTTAAAGCGAATAAGAATGCAGGTCATATTGTCACATCCAACTCCATTACTTGAATCTGGTGCAATAATTTCTTCAAGAACTTATTCAACTATTTATTTTTCAGACTTTCCTCCTTTCTTAAGCATTTCTCCGAATTTCCTAACAGCTTCTTCGCTTGTCAAGCAATCCCAAATGCCATCACAGGCTTAAATAATGAACTCCGTATCTTCATTGATTGGATTTTCAGAAATATCTGGGAACGCTGTGATCTATTATTCGTGCTTTGATAAATCATGTTTCTGCTTGTAGTCAAAGTCACCCAACGCTCTTGAAAGTGATATAATGCCGTTTGTTCTTCCCATTGAAACGAATCCGTCGGCTTTTTCAATTCTGGTTTTTTCTTTCAGATTATCTGGTTTGTGATCCTCGGATAATTCCACAGTTTGACCATTTTAACTCAATACGGCTCTAGAATCACCAGAATTGGCGCAATAGATTTTATCTTTTGTAAGCAATATAACGTTTGAGGTACATCCAGCCTCACTGAAATTATTAGGCTCTCCTCCATCATGTTCATTTCCATAGGTTCCTTGAGACTCTTACTAGTTTTTTATTGCAATCATCATTTCATCAATTTTTAAAAATACTTCCTCTAAACTTGTCTTATAGTCTCCAGACTTATAGCTTTCGAGTTAAAGTAATTCCTCAGCCATGTGTTTTTCCGCAAAGTGTGCCACTTAATCACCTATTGAGAAGAGATTAGATCAGAGCCATTTTGTTAAAGATACCTCCGTGCCCATCAAAGACAGCGAATAAAGCATTTCCATCCCCAAGATCAAGTTTTGCAATATGTGCATCCTCTTGAGTCTTTCTCCAGCCCTACATTGTTGTCGCGCCGAAACTTAACTAACAGTTTTATACATAAGGATTTTACTCTGTCATTAGAACCCTCTTCGCTGTGTTTGGTCTTGTCAGGTGTTGAAAGGTAATCTCCCATCTATTAATACTATTTATTATTTCTTAAAATCAAATCTATTATTTCGACCATTCTATATACTTTAGAATGCCTTATTTACTTTGCTTGGGGTTTTGGGGTTTTGGGGTTTTGGGG